CAACGTGAGTGAGTGTGAGCTCACCCAGAATGTGGCAATAGGAGGGAGAAGACCTCTCTACTCGAAAAGTCCCACAGCTTCATCTACAATCTGCTCCCTCTCCTCCAGCTCAGGAAAGACTTGGGAAGAAGGAGCAGAATGGGAAGAGCTAGAGCTGCGAGCCTGCGTCCCCTAGTGACGTCAGAAGCTACACCCAGAGAGCCCCACTGCCATGAGCTGAACAAGGACAAAAACATGCCAAAGTGGATGAGCTAGGAGGAGAACCGTGAGGCCTCAACCCTACGCAGAACCACCGGCAACCAGGGAAAGCTCAGCGTGGGCCGAGCAGGCTTCCCCAAGGGAAGGGCTCTCCAGCATACAAGTAGCATTATACAGACTAAGCAGGTTATATTTAGGGAGACACACACACACACACACTCACAAACACCTATAGTGAAAAAAGTCATGAATGTGAGAGCCCTAGGAGGGGCTTATGAGAGGATTTGGAGGGAAGAAAGGGAAGGAGGAAATCTGTAATTTTTAAAAAAAGCAATTTAAGAAAGTACAGACATGGCTTTCACACGCACACACAGCTGAAAACACCATGTAGGGTGTCAGAGGCCGTGGAAATACATAGCACATGGCAATTGATAATTCAGGTGTCAACCCACCAGACTCCGATGGAGATAATCCTGTCTAGCAATGACTACGGAACCACTGACTCTGAAAACCGGCTGCCTATGTCTAATTTCTCTCATGTGCCATTTCATTTCTTCCCTAAGAAGAGCTTTGAGTGTTTTCCCACTGCTTGCTTATCTTGTGAGAGTATTCCCTCTACTGGGCACACACACATCTGTGCACAGTCGGGAAGATGACTTTTCATTTACCTGTATAATTTTGATATATAGAAAACACACTGGGACAGTTTCATAAGTAAATCTATTGGTTCCACAAGGAGTATAGACACTGAAAAGCCTACTTTATCCTTTACCTCAGACTAATTGCACATAATTAACTTTTACCTCAGAGCAAGTTCAAACTAAAGGCTTTTTGTAATTAGATCATGAGTTTAAAACTTTACAGCTGTGCATAAGGTCAGAGTTGCAGAGCACCCTGGGAAAGACATGCCATTTCTTTGCCAGCCAAGTCTGTTAACAGTGGACTGTGTCAGGGCTGGAGAGATGGCTCAGAGGTTAAGAGGACTGACTGCTGGGCTGGAGAGATGGCTCAGAGGTTAAGAGCACTGGCTGCTCTTCCAGAGGTCCTGAGTTCAATTCCCAGCAACCATATGGTGGCTCACAACCATCTGTAATGAGATCTGGTACTGTCTTCTGGCGTGCAGGCAGAACATTGTATACATATTATTAATAAATAAATAAAATCTTAAAAAAAAAAAGAAGCTATTTAAAAAAAAAAAAAAAAGAGGACTGACTGCTCTTCCTGGGGTCCTGAGTTCAATTCCCTGTAACCACATGGTGGCTCACTACCATTTATAATGAGATCTGGCGCCCTCTGCAGGCAGAACACTGTATACATAATAAATAAATAAAAACAGTGGACTGTGTCTCAGGGTTTGGCACTGGGCACTGAGCACCTGCCCCCCCTCCCCAATCAGGTCAAGGTCTTGCTCCTATGGCCTTGGAGTCTTGTGTTGCCATGGTAATGGCTCGGTTTCCTATCGATTACCCTAGGAGTGTGCTTTTCACCAATGAGATGTGAGTCTTGTAATTTTTGTATCGCTCCAAGGCTGCTTGTGAGGAGAAGAGTTTTTAGAATAGGAAGAGAAGCTAAGAGGAATTAGAAGTAAGACTGGAGAATTAGAATAGAGGCAGAAGAACCATAGACACTGATTTGGAGAAGCTATGTGAGAGAGTTCGTTCACCCTCAGAAAAAGGCCTCTCGCTTGCTGTTACATCCCTTCTTGAACCCTGAGAGGGTCTTGGGGCCGGGCCCGCAAAGGGTCTCATTAGTAGGGTATGTCACACAGGAAAGATTTTCTCTGTTCAACATCATATTGTCAATAACGACCCTGAACACCTTACCTTGCAAAGTCCCAGATCCCAACCACCCCCGCTTTACCTCCGCAACAGAAATGCTGTCCCTGGTCGGCTTCACCCTCTGCTTGGCTAGAGCGGAAGCTTACGAGTATAGCTGTGAGGTACTCTGCTTGTTTTCCTTCCTTAGCACCTAGAAAAAGGAGCAGGACCCACAGCTGGTGCTTCATGAAATTCATCAAGTGATAAAACGTTTACTTCCTCACCCCCACAACCAAGATGCAGGCACATGACCCAGGGCAGCTAAGGCGTCAATCACAGGGCGTGACTTTAGGGTAAGGACTTTATTCTGAGAGAAGTCAGTTTCAGCCATTGTCCCTGAGCATCTGACAGGTGCACAGGCCAGTTCTATGTGACAGCACGGCTAGTGTCATTTGGGAAAAGGGACTCAACTGAAAGAATGTCTCTCTGTAAGACTGGCCTGAGTGTATTTTCTTGACGGATGATTGATGGGAGAGGGCCCAGTTCACCCTGGACTGGTGGCTTCAGATAGCATCAGAAAGCAGGCTGAAGCCGGGCGTTGGTGGCGCACGCCTTTAATCCCAGCACTCGGAGGCAGAGCCAGGCGGATCTCTGTGAGTTCGAGGCCAGCCTGGCCTGCAGAGCTAGTTCCAGGACAGCCTCCAAAACAATATACAGAGAAACCCTGTCTCGAAAAAGCAAAAAAAAAAAAAAAAAAAAAAAAAAAAAAGAAAAGAAAAAGAAAAAGAAAGTAGGCTGAGCAAGTCATGTTTCTGCTATAGTTCCTACCTCCAGTTCCTGTCCCAACTTCCCTGGGCTACAACCTATAAGATGAAACAAACCCTCTCCTTCCCAGGTTGATTTTGGTCATGGTGTTTTATCACCACGATAGAAACCCTAAGACAGCAGGTGACCAGTGCCTGCCAGTGCCCTGAGTCAGCCCTGTAAGATCCAATGACTAAGCCTAGAATGCTTTCATTGGATTAGATTCACACCAGGTTGTCAAGTTATTGGGCATGAAGCTTCTAAGTTTGACTTCTAGTATTATCAGAAATTTCTGACTGGGTGTGGTACCTCAAACAAGTAATCCCAGCACTTTGAAGGCTGAAGGGAAGCTGGGCAATGGTGGTGTATAACTTTAATCCCAGCGCTCAGGAGGCAGAGGCAGGCACTGTGAGTCTGAAACTAGCCTGGTGTCCTAGGGTTTCTGCTGCTGTGAAGAGATACCATGGCCACCACGGCAACTCTTACAAAGGGAACATTTATTGGGGTGACTCACACTTTCAGAGATTCAGTCCATTATCATCATGATGGGGGTCATGGCGGCGTGCAGGCAGATGTAGAGCTGGAACAGTGGCTTGGAGTCCTACATCTTGCAGGTAAAAGGAAGCTGACTGATACACCGGGCAGTGTCCTGAGCATAGGAAACCTCAAAGCCCATCCCATAGTGACACACTTCCTCTAACAAAACCATACCCACTCTAATAAAAACCAAACCTCCTAATAGTGCCACTCCCTATGAGATTATTGGGGTCACTTACATTCAACTACCACATTCTGTCACCTAGCTCCCAGAAGTTTATTATAGAGCAAAAATTCATCTAGCCCAACTTCAAAAGTCCCCATAGTCTATCATAGTCTATCACAGTCTCAATGAAGTTTAAAAGTTCAAAGTCTCCTGAGATTCATTCAGTCTCTTTAACTGTAATCCCCTGTAAAAGTCACAAAGGTGACCTCCTAGAAAGAATTTCACGAACTATGATAAGTGAATGCACTTGAAAGCGAGGCATGTCCATGCCATCTCACTGGGAAAAGCTAAGGCCTGGGAGCAATAGTCTTGGCCCTTTTCACGTGACCAAAGACGATACGATACAACACCGGCTATGTGCCTCGTTGTGCTAGCTGTAAGCATCACCTCGTGTTTTGCTTGCGTCAACCGCGAGAACGAGACATGTACACTGCTCCTAAGATCAAACACGTGGAGGCTGCAGTACCCCAGGCAGGTGTTTGTATTACCCTTTGATCCACAGTGGCTTAGCCTTGCTGGCCACAGGGTGGGCTGACGGTCATGTAAGGGAGCAAGAGTATTTTACAGTTTAAGTCACTGGCTTTCAGGGACTCTGAATGGGAGGACAGCGATTCCTCCAGAAGACACGGGCTATTCATAAAAATTTCAATACCACGTGTGGGATACGTCCCCACCAGCTGTCGATCAGGGAGGGCACAGAGACCCACCAAACAGTCTTAGCACTGTTCCTGGTTGCCATTGAAACTGCATGGTAAGACCCTGTTTGTGGGGAGAAGAGGAAGCCCTGAGTAACATCTGCTGTTGACATGGATGCAGCCATGACAAGTACCAAAGCCTTACACCTAGGGGAAATTGGAAAGCCTCCACAATCCTAGGAGAGCTCGGTGCATAGCAAAGTCTTCCTCTGGCGCAAGTGGGAGTGAATGTTGACGGGATGTGCAGAAAATGTCCTCCGTAGCTTTTCTCCCCGCCAGGGACTACTCCCACCAGGGTCAACTGAGCCTGTCTCCTTGTTATATCTGTATGTACTAACCCTGCCTCCCCGTTCAGGTGTACGTAATAAACACCCGCGCTTCTGGGAAGCGTCACCAGCAGCCCAGAGCATCCAATACCAGCTTTTAGATACATGTGCCTGCATGTCAGTCCTTACCCCATTCCCTTGCCACCCCTAATCAGGGTTCCAGGACTAAAGAGCTGTGCAAGGGTGCAGCACCTACTGGCGAAGACACAACATGCTTTGGGTACCAAGTTATCAAGCTAGAACTGGGCAGGAATCTCTCTCCCTGCTGAGTGGCTGTCACAGTGGAGAGGGTGCTATGCAGGCCTGTGGGAGAAAATGATGTCAGCTGTGTACCTGCAGCTGACCCTGAAGTCCTGTGTATATGTCAATAAAGCATTGTTGGCCAATAGGGAAGCAAGATAGGTGGGACTAAGAGTCCAGGAGGACTCTGGGTAGGAGAAACACAGGGAGTCAAGATGTAGCTGCTATAGGGATAAGAAGCCCGGAAACTTTGCTCCGGTAAGAGAAATACTTAGATTAACAATTATGGGGTAAATACTTAAGTCAGAGCTAGCCAGTAAGAAAAAGCAAGGCCAACAGCTTCATAATTAATACAGCGTCTTGTGTGTTATTTGGGGACTACAATGCGGCAGAGCCCAGGAGACTGGCGGGTGATAAACCAAAGCGGCTAGCAAGGAAAGGCTTCTCTTTACACCTGAATGCTACAACATCACCTGCAAGGCAAGTTGTGCTTACCGTGTAATAGTGCCATTATGGTGACATATTATTTGTAATTTATTATAGCTTGTCTGAGGACTCAGAAGGCAAACTCAGCCAGAAGCCAGAGAAGCCAGGCACACACTTTTAATCCCAGCAGCCGGAAACTAAGAGGTGGTGGTACAGGCCTTTAATCCCAGGACTCAGGATTAAGAGATAGCTGAATCTCTTGGGCTGGAGAGATGGCTCAGAGGTTAAGAGCACTGACTGCTCTTCCAGAGGTTCTGAGTTCAATTCCCAACAAACCATCTTCAATTCAATCTGGTGCCCTCTTCTGGTATGTAGGCAGAACTCTGTATATGCAATAAATAAATAGATCTTTAAAAAATTATTTTAAAAAATAGCTGAATCTCGTTGAGGTCAAGGCCACCCAGGAATACATGAGAGTGAATCAGTCTAAAAGAGTAACAGATTGGGTGCTGGAGAGATGGCTCAGAGGTTAAGAGCACTGACTGCTCTTCCAAAGGTCCTAAATTCAATTCCCAGCAACCACATGGTGGCTCTCAACCATCTGTAATGAGATCTGGTGCCTTCTTCTGGCATGCAGGCATACATGCTGGCAAGATACTGTATACATAATAAATAAATCTTTTTTTAAAAAAGTAACATTTAATCAAGAGGTAGCTGAATCTCGTTGAGTTCAAGGACACCCAGGGATACATAAGATTGAATCAGTCTAAAAGAGTAACAGATCACATGCCTTTAATCCCAACACTAGAGGGTTATAAAAGAAGCAGATAGGCCGGGCGTTGGTGGCGCACCGCCTTTAATCCCAGCACTTGGGAGGCAGAGGCAGGCGGATCTCTGTGAGTTCGAGGCCAGCCTGGTCTACAAGAGCTAGTTCCAGGACAGCCTCCAAAGCCACAGAGAAACCCTGTCTCGAAAAACCAAAAAAAAAAAAAAAAAAAAAAAAAAGCGGATAGAGACATTCTTCTCCAGTCACGCTGAGGAAAGTCTGAGGCTTGGTGAGAGCTCGTGGAAACAGAATCAGTCCATTCAGCCTGAGGTAGAGGCTAGTGACTGACTGCTTTTCTGACATTCAGCTTGAAGTTTGAACCCCAATATCGAGGGGTTTTTATTTTTCATGTCACATGCCAGCCATGAAGGTTATAGGGGTAGCCATCTGCTTCTGGATTGAATTCGAGGTCTGTCCCACAGGAATGAATTCAGGTCTGGTACTGTGAACCCGATCAATGGGTTGGAGGGTCACAGGCCATAGGGAGGAACCTAGTACTATTGTTTTGCTAAATGACATGTTATTAAACTGCTTCCTAAGCTTTTGCTTGTATCAGAAGAAAAGCTTCTCTCTGCAGTGCTCAACGGTTAATGCAGAGATGAGGATATATGTCTATTGAGTGCTCAACACAATATGGGATATTGTATCTATAGGAGGCATGGAGGTCTTTGTGCTCACGGATACACACTAGGAGAACTTTGAATGCTAAGCACATGGTATTGTTCCTTCAAGGGAAGGAATGTGTAACCTGCTACCTGCCCGCAAGACTGGTGTCCCTTGCACTATCTGTGACGACTCAGGCATTACTCTGCCCTGCCCCCGTCACCTGCAGAATGCACTCAGGCAGTCACCTGGTCAGCCCAGAGTTCCATGAGTCTGCACACAGGTGCAAAGGACCCTTTAAAAGACAGACCCCGCCCACTTGGGCTCTCCACCGCCGCTTTTTCCCTTGGTTCCCCTGGAGCAGATAGGACTTTTCCTGTCTCCCTCTTCTCTTCTGTCCTCTCTGTCTGTCTATGTCTCTCTCTCTCTCTCTCTCTCTCTCTCTCTCTCTCTCTCTCTCTCTCTCTCTCTCTCTCTCTCTCTCTACCTCTTTTCTTTTTCCTTCTTCCCTCCCTCCCCCCTTTTTTTTTTTTTTTTTTTTTTTTTTTTTTGGTATTTCAAGACAGGGTTTCTCTGTTTTGTTCTGGAGGCTGTCCTGGAACTCCCGCTGTATACCAGGTTGGCCTTGAACTCACAGAGATCCGCCTGCTTCTACCTCCCGAGTGCTGGGATTAAAGGCGTGCACCACCAACGCCCGGCCCTCCCTCCCCTTTCTAATAAAACTTTTCACTTAAGCTCTGTGTGCCTGGCGTCTTTGTCCCTCTGCCTCGGTCACCCTTGCCCGCCATGGAATCGCCAAGGTTCCCCTTGAGCTTTATCCTAATGCTATGTGACCAGAGACCTTTCCAGCATCTGACCCTCCCCCAGACCCTTGTCATGAATTTGTTTTACTCGGTCAACTTACAGAACCGATGTTTACAGTCTTTACAGAGTTTCAGTGTAGTCTTGTATGATACGTATTTTCTTGGTTCCACAAGGAGAGCTATGCTTGCTTTGTTGAGCATGTGGGATTAAGTCAGTTGTCACCAAATAGGTTCCACCAGACTGTGCTGTGCTTAAATAAACTTTAAATAAACTACTCGGGGTCAGACCCCGGAAGCGTGAACCTACACTGGCTACGGAGTCTTGTTACACTGCCTTCGTGCCTCCTGCACGGATGTTACCCTGGCCCTGCTAAGACTCAGGCGACATCTCAGAGGAGGGCTGGGAAGAATTTGGATCCAGAGGAGGTGATGTGAAACGTTGTCTTGTGGACAAGACCTGGTCGTTGCTCTCATGAACTTACTGTTGCTGTAGATTACCTGCATGAGCCTGCTCAGGGAAAATCACTAAAGCCAAAATCCCAACAGGCAGCGCTAATTATGAGTAACAAAGCAGGAGAAGATGACGGAAGTGTTGGGGCTTCCTGGGTCAAGTGGGAAGGATGAGTTGGGGACTCTTGAGGAGGGAGAGGGGGGAGTTAGGGTGCATATGATCAAATTACTTTTTTTTTTTTTTTTTGGTTTTTTCGAGACAGGGTTTCTCTGTGGCTTTGGAGGCTGTCCTGGAATTAGCTCTTGTAGACCAGGCTGGTCTCGAACTCACAGAGATCCGCCTGGCTCTTCCTCCCGAGTGCTGGGATTAAAGGCATGCGCCGCCGCCACCGCCCAGAGACAAAAATACATTATTTTTTTAATTAATTAATTTATTTTATATATATAAATAAAATGTATATATATACATATACATATACATATACATATACATATACATATACATATACATATATATATATATATATATATATATATATATATATATATAGTGTTCTGTCTGCGTGTACACCTGCAGGCCAGAAGAGGGCACCGATCTCATTACAGATGGTTGTGAGCCACCATGTGGTTGCTGGGAATTGAACTCAGGACCTCTGGAAGAGCAGTCAGTGCTTTTAACCATTGGGACATCTCTCCAGCCCAAAATACATTATTTGCATGCATGCATTGTCAAAGAATAAAAATGTTTTTGTTGCCGGGCAGTGGTGGCGCACGCCTTTAATCCCAGCACTCGGGAGGCAGAGGCAGGCGGATCTCTGTAAATTCGAGACCAGCCTGGACTACCAAGCAAGTTCCAGGACAGCCTCCAAAGCCACAGAGAAACCCTGTCTCGAAAAACAAAAAACAACAAAAAAAATGTTTTTGTTTTGTTTTGTTTTTCGAGACAGGATTTCTTAGTGTAGCCTTGGCTGGACTTGAACTTACAGAGATCCGCCTGCCTCCTGAGTAGTGGGATTAAAGGTGTGAACCACCACCCAGTCAATAAAAAATATTTTTTACAAGTCACTGTGTGTTTGAGGCCTCTACTACAGCAAGCTAGTTAATTCTTAATTAATACAGGCAGTATATCAGGCCAGAAGGAGCAGACAGCTGGTGTACATGGAATCCAAGCGTCTTGTGTATTTGGGATAGTAAAATTACAATTACCAAAAGAAGTTACATAAAATTTGCTGTGCTTGGCCAGGTGTTGGTGGTGCACGCCTTTAATTCCAGCACTCGGGAGGCAGAGGTGGGCAGATCTCTGTGAGTTCGAGGCCAGCCTGATCTACAGAGCAAGTGCCAGGATAAGCTCCAAAGCCACACAGAGAAACCCTGTCTCAAAAAACAAAACAAACAAAATGCTGTCCTCTATTTGAATTAATCATTGGTTTCTGATAGTTGTAGAATCTTGAAACCAGCATCAAAAATCACAATGTTTTATCACCATAGATTATTGCATGTATTCATTTATTTTGTGTGGGGTATAGGTATAGTGGTTTGCATAAGAGTGGCCTCTAAGGGTTCATGTATTTGGATGTTTAGTCGCCAGGGAGAGAAACTCTTTGAGAAGATTAGAAGAATCAGGACACATAGCTTTGTGGGAGGAAATTTGTCACTGGAGGTGGGCTTTTTTTTTTTTTTTTTTTTTGAGGCTTCAAAAGTCCATGCCAGGCCCAGTGTCTCTGTTCTCTGTGTCTGTCTCTGTCTGCTTTCTGATAAGGAGGTAGCTCTCAGCTACTGCTCCAACCTGTCTGCTACCATGTCCCCACCATGATGATAATGAACTAAACCTCTGAAACTGTAAGCCAGCCCCAGTTTTTTTTTTTTGTTTTTTGTTTTTTTTTTGTTTTTTTTTGGTTTTTACGAGACGGGGTTTCTCTGTATTGTTTTGGAGGCTATCGGTCCAGCCTGGCCTCGGACTCACAGAGATCCGCCTGCCTCTGCCTCCCGAGTGCTGGGATTAAAGGTGTGCGACCACCGCTCGGCGTAAGCCAGCCCCAGCTAAAAGCTTTTTATTATGAGTTGCGGTGGGGTCATGGTGTCTCTTCACAGCAATAGAACACTAGCTAAGACAGAATGTACGTGTGTGCCACAATGCCTGTGGAGGCCGGAGGACAACTTGCAAACGTTTATTCCCTTTTTGCTACCATGTGGGTCTTGGGGCTCAAACTCAGGTCCTTAAGCTTGGCAGCTAGTGTCTTTACCTGCTGCATCATCTGACTGGCTCCTATCACCACAGATTAGTTTAAATTTTACACAAATGTCTACAAGTTCCGTGTCTTGCTTTTCCCAGGGTGATGTTTTTGAAATCTATTCATGTTACTGCATGAATCACTTATTCCTTTTATTGCTACATAATATTGCCTCATGTGGATATACCATACCATATTTTTTGTTTGTTTGTTTTATGTGTATATTTGTAACAGGTTTTTTGTTTTTGTTTTTTGATTTTTTTTTTTTTTTTTTGGTTTTTCGAGACAGGGTTTCTCTGTATTGTTTCGGAGGCTATCGGTCCAGCCCGGCCTCGAACTCACAGAGATCCGCCTGCCTCTGCCTCCCGAGTGCTGGGATTAAAGGCGTGCGCCACCACCGCCCGGCTGTTTTTTGATTTTTGAGACAGAGTTTTTCTGTAGGTTTGGAGACTGTCCTGAAACTCTCTTTGAAGACCAGGCTGGTCTCAAACTCACAGAGATCCGCCTGCCTCTGCCTCCCGAGTGTGCCACCAATGCCTGGCCAGGAATGGGTTTCTACCTCTGCCTGCAGCCATGGTTGACTCTTGGAGGCTGGAGTACCTGGGATCTTATCAAAATCCCTTACTGCTGTGAGCTTTAAATCAAGTCTCTGCAAAGTCTTGAAGACAGTCTTCTTTTCCTCTCCCATCCTGCCTGCTGGGAATGATCTCAAGAATCTCTGTTTAGTCCACACACACCCTGATTATTATTATTGTTATTATTTTGGTTTTTCTGAGACAGGGTTTCTCTGCAATGTTTTGGAGGCTGTCCTGGAACTCGCTTGGTAGACCAGGCTGGTCTTGAACTCACAAAGATCCGCCTGCCTCTGCCTCCTGAGTGCTGGGATTAAACGTGTGCACCAGCAACACCTGGCTACCCTGATTATTTATTTATATATATAACATTTTATTATATTGTATATAAAAATATGCATTTGTATTATATAATTTATATACATAATTTGTTACACACATATTTATAATCATATTTGTTGTTATATAACATGCCTTTATTATTATATGTTAACATACTATTATATAAATTCTGATTGTGCATGCAAATAAGGTGTGAAAGGAAGCAGCTCTCAAGCCTGGAGGGAGATGGGAAGAGCCCTGAGTGGCGTTCCCTATAGGTGGGCCTGCTTCTCACTATAGCAGGGGGAGGGAAACAGGTCCGTAGCCATCAGAAAGGTACCACGGGCTCTTTACAGATCTCGTTACAGATGGTTGTGAGCCACCATGTGGTTGCCAGAAATTGAACTCAGGACCTTTCGAAGAACAGTCAGTGCTCTTAACCGCTGAGCCATCTCTCCAGCCCTTGCCCAGAAGTTTCTATTGGTTCCAGTTACCACAGCAGCATTCTGGTTATTTTCACTCTGGAGCTCCGGTCATGGCTGGTTCCAATAAATGATCATTCCTAGGGCAGTCCCATCTCTTGTGGAATCTAGTCTGTTACCACTCCAAATGCTTTGGAGCTTTCTCATGTCTGTTTTGGTCTCGCTGGGGCTTTTGGGGGTTTGGTCACGGTTGTCTTCTTGCTGGCAGCTAAGTGGAGGGTGGTGAGGCGGAGTCACCACCAGCTAGCTCCTTGCTTTCAGCTGCCACAAAGCGCTGGGTCTGAAGCCCCTCCTGTGTCTGTCACCTTTAGGAGCCTCCATCTAAACTGCCATGAGGGGGCTTACAGAACATTTTTTTTCTCTTAGGTACAGGGTTTCAGGAGATAGTAAGTCTCCCAACTGGAAGAAGAAAACAGCCACAACAGGATATAAATGTGGTAAACAGAGGGAGCCAGGAAAGAGATGGAACTCCGTGGTTTGGGGCTCAAGGGGGACACTGAGGTAGACACTTCCTTTGGGTAAGAAATTTAAGTTAGCTGGGCTGTGGTGGGGGACACGCCTGTAATTCCAGCACTCTGGAGGCCGGGGCAGGGGATTTCTGTGAGTTCCGGGTCAGCTTGGGCTAGAGAGCTAGTTCCAGATCAGGCTCCAGAACTAAACAGAGAAACCCTGTCTTCGAAAAGCCAAAAACAAAACAAATAAATGATAAAATCTAACCTACTAATGCCGCAAACCCATGAACAGTCTGTAGCACGGAAGGGCATCGGAGGGCAGTTGACACCCAGATGTCAGAGTGGCTATACCTTCTTATAGGTTTCAGGGAAAGGGGTGAATGAGGCTGCATGTCAACTCCTGAGTAGCCTGTGCTTGTAAGGAGATTGTCTGTCATTCCTGGTTGACGGGGAGAGGAGGAAGTCTTGCATTCCCAGGAAGGAAATTATGATCCTAGGTATGTAGAAGCTGGGGGGAGGAGGAGGCCCCTTAGTTGACGAATATCCATCATACGGTGAGCCTCAGAGCTTAGAACAATGGTTGTCAACCCTCCTAAGGCTGACACCCTTTCCTACGGCTCCTCGTGTGGTGGTGACCCCAACCAGGAAGTTATTTTCATTGCTACTTCATCATTTCGCTACCGTTATGGATCACAATGTAGATATTTGTGTTTTCCAATAGCGTTAGACGACCCCCGAGAAAGGGTCGGGATCTGCTGGTTTAGAGTCTGCAGGCTTGGGTGCTGCCCAGAACCGCCCACCAGGGATTAGAGATGCTCAGCTGCAGATGGGTATGGACTAAGCAGCATGTGGTCTGGGTTCCGATAGGAGTTGAGTTAACTTGCTTCCAACGCGCAGAGATCCCCCTGTCTCAGTCTCCAAAGGGCGCCACCACGAGCAACAAAAGTAACTTTTTAACCTTGACATATGACATAAGGGCCTGGGGCAGCTTCTAGAAGGCTCTCCAGCAAGTCAAACGGCCCCAGGAGAGCAGGAATCCGAGGGCCGTGTGTAGGGTGTCGGGGTGGGGTAAGAGTCCAGCTCAGACAGCTGCGCAGAGAGGGAGAGGGTGACGAAAAGTGACCAGTGCTAGACAAAGGCTACAGGATGAGAAGCCAACGGGATAGGGTCGGGTTCGGCAACTAAAGGGGACTCCGTGCTCTCTTTCGTTAGAAAAAGGGAGAAGCCACTGACCCTCAAAAGGTGGTTTTGCCCAGGTTCTACAATTAGGAGCAAGCCCAGCAGAGAAACCAACTCCAAGCTACTCCAAGTTAATTCCTACTACAGTAACCGCTAATTTCCCGCCGTCTTATACTTATAGCCCGCCGGGCGGTGGTAGCGAACGCCTTTAATCCCAGCACTCGGGAGGCAGAGGCTGAAGGTTCGAGACGCAGCCATTGCTGACTACGGAAATGGCCTTGGCCCAGCAACCGGAACCAGAAACTGACCGGCCACCGCACAAACGCCCCCTAACGACCAGCAAACCCTGGAGGGTAGCTCATGGGAAGCGGCCGGGCTTTTCCGGGAAAACACTTAACCGCGGAGAGAACCAGAGCGCGGAGGGGAGGGAAGGCCAGCCCTCGCGGCGGGTGTGGCTCTGCATCCCCGCGGGGGCCTTCTCGCGCAGGCGCAGACCTTCTCCGCTCAGAAACCACACGTAAGCAAAAGATGGCGCGGTCCTCACTCCACCGCTCCTAGCGTCCGCGAGGCCGAGATCGCGGGCCCTCGCTTTCTAAACTACATTTCCCAGCAGGCACTCCTTCCTAGCAGATAAGGGTCGCTGCCCGGGGATAGGATGAAACAGCGGTTAAGCGATGACGCGCGAAACGGAAGTACGGTGATTACAGTGTTTGCGCGCCTCAGAACAGAGAGCCCCAGTGGCCTAATGGATAAGGCATTGGCCTCCTAAGCCAGGGATTGTGGGTTCGAGTCCCATCTGGGGTGCGCTCGTTTTTTTTCCATTCCAATGGAAAAACTATCAGCGAGTCGATCCTGCTATAAAGTATCAGTGAGTCGATCCTGCTACTCATTTTGTTTTTTGTTTTTTTGTTTTTTTTTTTGGTTTTTCGAGACAGGGTTTCTCTGTGGCTTTGGAGGCTGTCCTGGAACTCGCTCTTGTAGACCAGGCTGGCCTCAAACTCAGAGATTCGCCTGCCTCTGCCTCCCGAGTGCTGGGATCAAAGGCGTGCGCCACCAACGCCCGGCCTCATTTTGTTATTGTACGTGTTTATTTTTTTGTTTTGTCTTGTTTTTTGTTTTTCGAGACAGGGTTTCTCTGTGTATTTATTATTGAGACGGGTCCTCTCTACACGGCTCCGGCCGTCTTAGAACACACTTAGAGACCAGACTGGTCTCGAACCCGCAGAGAGCCTCTCGGAGGAGCCGGGATTAAAGGCGTGCGCCGACATCGCCCGGCCACTTGGTTTGGAGCTGGGGAAGCGGGGGCGAGCCTTTGCTGGTTGAGAGGCTGCGGGAGCCGCCGAGTGCGGGGGGCGACGTCCCCGGGAGAGACGGCCAGGCCCCTCCCCGCCGCCAGCTGCGGGGCGGGGCTTCCAGCGAGGGCCTTTCCCCTCTTCCCGCGGGCCGTCGGCAGGCGGCGCTGCGGAGCGCACCGGCCAGGGCCGTACCGTCGAGCACCGCGCCGGGGAGGGGGCGCCCGAGGACGCGGGAATGGCGGCGTTGGGGTCCCCGGCGCGCACCCTGAGGGGCCTTCTGCGGGAGCTGCGCTACCTGAGCGCGGCCACCGGGCGGCCGTACCGCGACACCGCGGCCTACCGGTACCTGCTGAAGGCTTTCCGAGCACACCGGGTACGGAAGCCGCGTCCGCCCGCGGGGCTCCGGCTCTAGGGAAGGGCAGGCCGGCCGGGCTGGCTGGGTCGGGGCCGCGGGATCGCCGGGTCTCAGGGCAAACGAGACCAGTGGACTGGGATAGCCCGGGGCCTCAGGGGCCCCCACTGACACTAAAGCCACGTGGGGTGCGTCTCGTCGGGGACTTCACGTCCGCCACCCCAGGGTGAGCTGTCTCTGGCGGTTTGATTGGTCCGTGGGGTGTGGGATGGGATAAGGGGCGGTTGTCGTATGGAGGGGCCCCAGGGGTCCCTATGATTAAAGGCTCCAGGGCAGAAGCAGAGTCTCACGCTTTCCGCATTGAAGTTTTTATACTAATGAATGTTTTTGTGTGGCGGGAGTGTGTGTTCGTGTGTGTGTGTTTGTGCGCGCGTGTGTACAGCGAGGAGACAGGATTTCACTATCACGCTGGCCGAACTGGAGTTTGCTATGTAGTCCAGATTGACCTTGAACGCAGATTTCCTGTTTACTGAGCTCAAGGATTAAAGGCACAGGTCAGACAAAAGCAGTTTTTAATACAATGAAGTGGGGAATATTGGACAGTTCTTCAAATGTAGGTGCAGCTTTCTAATTATGTAGTAGTATTGTTTACCATTGAGAAAAACAACGACTTGTATTCTATAAGATGATTGCACTACCAGCTACATCATTAGCTTGCTGTATAACAGGGTACATTTTTTGTAAGATTTATTTATGATGTATACAGTGTTTCTGTCTTCATGTATGCCTGCTTGTCAGAAGAGGGCACCACAGCCGAGCGTTGGTGGCGCACGCCTTTAATCCCAGCACTCGGGAGGCAGAGGCAGGCGGATCTCTGTGAGTTGGAGGCCAGCCTGGTCTACAGAGTGAGTTCCAGGATAGCCTCCAAAGCCACAGAGAAACCCTGTCTGGAAAAACCAAAAAAAAAAAAAAAAAAAAGAAGAAGAGGGCACCACATCTCATAGATGGTTGTGAGCCACCACGTGGTTGCTGGGAACTGAATTCAGGACTTCTAGAACAGCCAGTGCCTTAACCTGTGAACCATTTCCAGCCACAGGTTTGTTTACTGACGTAACAAACATAAACACACAGAATGCTATCCTTAGCAGGTACCACTATGAAATGTCTCTTAGTCAGAAGGGAATGGAAGATGGTTCCTTTCCCAACTGGGGTAGTGATCAATTCTCTGCCTTTGAACATGATCAGGCTCAAGGACAGTTACCTGTACAAGAATAAGTAGAACTAGAATTTAGGGGAAGGAAACCTAATGTCTTTGAGTAATCTTTTTTTTGAGACAGGGTTTCTCTGTATTGTTTTGTAGGCTATCCTGGAACTCACTCCGTAGACCAGGCTGGCCTCAAACTCACAGAGATCCACCTGCTTCTGCCTCCCGAGTGCTGGCATTAAAGGCGTGCGCCACCAATGCCCTGCTGAGCTATCATCTTAACTGCTGAATGCAAAACTTTAGACCTAAAATTCACTTAGTTTTAAAAAGCTACAGAGTTAGGGACTGTGTGTACTACGAACTTGGGTCACATATCAAGAATAAGATGCTCCTGGCACATGCCTTTCATCCCAGCACTCAGATTTCTGAGTTTGAGGCTAGCCTGACCTAGAGTTTAATTCCAGGACAGCCAGAGCTCCATAGTGAGACTCTGTCTCAAAACAGAAAGAAAAAACCAGTAATAGAAATCCCCCCCATCAAAAAAAATTCGTGCTTAAAACTCCAGGGCTGACCCATACTTTAATCCCAACACTTCTGAAGCATAGGCAGGTAGATCCCTGAGTGAGTTAAGGCCAACCTGGTCTATAAAGAATGTTACAGGCGCCGGGCGGTGGTGGCGCACGCCTTTAATCCCAGCACTCGGGAGGCAGAGACAGGCGGATCTCTGTGAGTTCGAGACCAGCCTGGTCTATAAGAGCTAGTTCCAGGACAGCCTCCAAAGCCACAGAGAAATCCTGTCTTGAAAACAACAACAAAAAAAACAAACAAACAAAAAGAATGTTACAGGCAAGCCACAGCTACCCTGTCTCAAGAAGCTCACAAAAAACTCAACCAAACAAAACAGAACCACCCCCCAAAGGTCAAGGCTGAGGCTTGTCTAGCATGCCTGAGGCCACTAGAGACCTCACCCTAAGTGAATGCGTAGAGAGGATGGGCATGGTTTCTATTCCTGTGCTCATGTCTTCTGTTGCCTGGGGAGAAATGATGAATTAGGAACCTCTCTGTTCTTAAGTTTTGTTTTGTTTTGTTTTGTTTTTTGGTTTTTCGAGACAGGGTTTCTCTGTGGCTTTGGAGGTTGTCCTGGAACTAGGTCTTATAGACCAGGCTGGTCTCGAACTCACAGAGATCTGCCTGCCTCTGCCTCCCAAGTGCTGGGATTAAAGGCGTGCGCCACCAACGCCCGGCTTGTTCTTAAGTTTTATAGATTCTTCTCTTTACAATACATCACCCCTACAGCTTCCCCTCCCCCCCACTCCTCCCAGGTCCTCCTCCCCTCTCCTTCAGATCCACTTCCAGCCCTGCCTCCCCACGGGAAAGAGCAGGACTCCCCGGGACATCAGTCAAATACAGCACAAGATGCAGTAAGACCAGGCACAGACCCTCACATCAAGCTGGGCAAAGCAAGGGGGGGGGGCAAGGAGGAAAAGCCGCCTTTATCTTTTAATATATGTATATATCTACTTTTTGGGTGGGTACATGCCAAATACGTGGCTGAGAGCGCAGTTTGTAGGGGAGTCAGTTCTCTTTTTTTTCAACTTTGTGGATTTTGGGGGATTGGATTCAGAGCATCAGGTTTGGCAGCAAGTGTCCTTACCCACTGACAGTGGTTTTCAAACCAGTTAGGATACACAGTGAGATCATTTTCTCAAAAAGCACCCCCCACCACCACACACATACCAAGTTAGACCCAAGTGTGACTGTGGTGTCACACACCTGTACATTTCAGCATTGTAAAACCAAGGTAAGAAGACTGAATTACAAGTCAGTCCATGCTATATAGTAAGACCTTGTTTCTAAAAAAGTTTTGATTGGAGCAGGTAAGTGCTGCTTAGTACTTTAAGTATTATATGCTCGAGTTTTCAGATTTTAATTGTGGATATTCAGACTGAGAAAAGGAATTACACATACAGTAGTGCGGGGCTAAAACACATCCCCATCTATAAATGATTTATTGATGTCTGTGTTCCTGTCTCACAACCTTGGAACACCAGAATGTTAAGGGCAGAGTACTGAAAGTCAAGTATTATGAAGAGCAACCAGGATTTGGAGTTACTCTGGACATTGATATGGACTTTCTAGTTTGTTAAAGTCATTAGAATTCAGATTTTCTAGATGGTTAAATTGTACAAACAAGGGGCTGGAGAGATGGCTCAGTGGTTAAGAGCACTGGCTCCTCTTCCAAAGGACCCAGGTTTAATTCCCAGCACCCACCCCAGTTCCAGAGGATCTAACACCCTCATACAGAGTATACACAGGCAAAACACCAGCACATATAAAATAAACAAATCTTTTAAAGAAGGAAAAAAATTATACAAACAATATGAAAATATTCATTTCAAACACACACATATATACATGCATGCATACATACATACATATATAATCTTCATGTTGCTACTATGAGTACAAAGCCCTTATTTTTAAGATAAGTTTCTGATTTTGGAGTGAAAGGTGTTAGGTTTCAGTAAGTCTGGAAATGAGCTCAAGCTGGACTCCAGACAGATTTCTGGAAGTTGTGTAGAAGCCAGTGCTCCTCAGGAACGTGAGAAACAGGCTTTCTACCTCACAGGGCGCTCATTTCCCTTGCTCCCAGCAGAAGGGACTGGCTCACCATTGAATTGCATCTGTGACTGCACATCAAATCCCGAGCTAGCCTCTGGGCTCTCCCAGTCCCTACTCCTAAGTACTTGTTATGCATTTAAAAGCCCCTATGCCAGGCGTTGGTGGCGCACGCCTTTAATCCCAGCACTCGGGAGGCAGAGGCAGGTGGATCTCTGTGAGTTCGAGGCCAGCCTGGTCTACAGAGTGAGTTCCAGCACAGCCTCCAAAGCCACAAATAAACCTTGTCTCGAAAAACCAAAAAAGCCCCTATACTACTCTCCTGGCCCCACTAACCCTGTCCCCAGCCCCCAACTCACTGGTCTGTTCCAGCTCACCATGTTCCTTGCCGCCAGATAGTCATTGCTCTTAAAATCCACTGTCTGCTCGGGAGACAGAGGTAGGCGGATCTCTGTGAGTTCAAGGACAACCTCCAAAGCCACAGAGAAACCCTGTATCGAAAAACCAAATAAATAAATAAAATAAAATCCACTGTCTGTTCTCTCGTGGCCCTGGCCATGCTCAGTCCACTGCGTCTTTCTCTCTGCTCTGGACTCTCCGGATGCCTCTGGACAATCTCTCTCTTATAAAAACCACACTGAGGCCGTGCTGGTGGTCCACACCTGCAGAGGGCAAGGCCAGCTTGGTTTACAGATCAAGATCCAGGACAGCGAGGGCTACCCAGAGAAACCCTGTCTCAAACCAGCAAACCACATAATGGATTGGCCATTTCAGTGGTTTCTTTTTTATTATTTGTGTGCATTGATGTTTTGCCTGCACATATGTCTGTGTGAGGATGCCAGATCTGCTGGAACTGGAGGTACAGACAGCTGTGAGCTGCCATGTGGGTGCTGGGAATTGAACCCAGGTCCTTAAGTGCTTTTAACCACTGAGCCACCTCACCAGCCCCCCCTAGTGGTGTCTTCAAAGCACCCCTATATAAAAGGTGTATGCCTTGTTCAAGTGACAGAAACACAAAACAGCTTTGTTTAAAAGGAGAAGATTCATGTACTCTCTCTTTTTTAATCTCTACATAGGTTAAAAAAACCAGACTGTCACTTTGTTAATTCCCTTTTAGGTCACCGGTGAGAAGCTGTGCCGAGCCCAACATGAGCTTCACTTCCAAGCTGCTACCTATCTCTGCCTCTTGCGGAGCGTCCGGCAACACGTAGCCCTTCACCAGGAATTTCATGGCAGGGGCGAGCGTTCGTTGGAGGAGTCTGCTGGTTTGGTGGGCCTCCAGTTGCCCCGGCAGCCTGGAGGGAAGGGCTGGGAGCTGTAAAGGAAAGTCCTCAGATGTCCCTTCAGTCAAGAACTCAACCAGTTCTACCAATACGTATTTATCATTAAATCTCTTTTAAAGTTTTCAAGTGCAGGTTTTTCCCGCTGTTTTGTTCTGTATTTCTCGTGGAGTGGCTAGGGAAGTGAATCTGGAGGGTCTCAAGGGAACCTCTGGTTTTTACGTGGATTGACTGTTTTTTTTTTTTTTTTTTTTTTTTGGTTTTACGAGACAGGGTTTCTCTGTATTGTTTTGGAGGCTGTTGGTCCAGCCTGGCCTTGAACTCACAGAAATCCGCCTGCCTCTGCCTCCCGAGTGCTGGGACTAAAGGTGTGTGCCACCACCGCCCGGCTGGATTGACTGTTCTTAAGTGTGTCCCAGTGCTCTTGCTTCTGGACGACAGGACTGCCTTCCTCAAGTCCTTCTCCGCCTTATTTCTTGAGACAGTATCGCTCACTGAACTTAGGGCTCACTATTTTGGGTTCAGTGACTGCCTAGCAAGTACCCAGGATCATCTGTCTCTGCTCTCGAGCTCAGGGGTGAGAAGCCATGACAATTTATGAGGGTTAGGGATCTGGGCAAAGTCTAACCAGTGAGCCTATCCATACCTTAGTCCCTGGTGTGCTTGGCCTAATTTTATAACACAGGGTTTTTCTTTGTTCTTTTTAAATAAATGGACAGATGGCTTAGTGGTCAGCAGAGGCTGAGTCTGATTCCCAGCACCCATGGCAGGTAGCTAACCTTTTATAGGGTTTCAAGGGATCTGGCACCTCTGCTCTGTACCGGCACTCACACTCATGTGCACATACTCACATACACACATAATTAAAAAATACCAAGCTGGGGACTGGAGAGATGACTCAGATGTTGAGAGAACTGACTGCTCTTCCAGAGGTCCTGAGTTCAATTCCCAGCAACCACATGGTGGCTCACAACCATCTGTAATGAAATCTGGTGCCCTCCTCTGACTGGCATGCAGACAGAACACTGTATACATAGTAATAAATAAAATCTTTAAAAAAAATACCAAGCTGGGCGTTGGTGGCCTTTGATCCCAGCACTTGGGGAGGCATAGGCAGGCAGATCTCTGAGTTTGAGGCCAGCCTGGTCTACAGATCGAGTTCCAGGACAGCCTCCAAAACAATACAGAGAAACCCTGTCTCGAAAAACAAACTAATAATAATAAAATAAACTCTTGCTTTGATTTTTTAAAAAGATTTATTTATTTGTTATGTACACAGTGTTCTGTCTCCATGTATGCCTGCAGGTCCAGAAGAGGGCACCAGATCTCATTACTCATGTTTGTAAGCCACCATGTGATTGCTGGGAACTAAACTCAGGATCTCTAGAAGAACAGTCAGTGTTCTTAAGCTCTGAGGCATCTCTCCAGCCCACTTTTGTTTATTTTTTGAGATACGGTCTCACTATGTAGTTTTGTTTGTTTGTTTTGGTTTTTCGAAACAGGGTTTCTCTGTATTGTTTTGGAGGCTGTCCTGGAACTCACTTCGTAGACCAAGCTGGCCTCGAACTCACAGAGATCCACATGCCTCTGCCTCCCCAGTGCTGGGATTAAAGGCGTGCGCCACCAACGCTCGGCTGTCACTATGTAGTTTTTTTTTAAGGGTTATTTATTTATTGCATATACACTGTTCTGCTTACATGCCAGAAGAAGGCACCAGATTGAATTGTAGATGGCTATGAGCTACCATGTGGTTACTGGGAATTGAACTCAGGACCCCTGGAAGATCAGTCAGTGCTCTTAACCTCTGAGCCATCTCTCCAGCCCTCACTATGTACTTTTAACTGGCCTAGAACTTGTTATATAGGCCAGGTGGACCTTGAACTCAGTGATCGGCCTGCCTCTGCCTCCAGAGTGCTAGAATAAAGTATCACCATGCCAAGCTCTGAACATAAATATATATTTTTTTTTTTTGGTTTTTCGAGTGCAGATGTTTGTGTGCCACCGTGCAGGTAGAGAGGTCAGAGGACAATTTTAGGGAGTCCTCTCCTTCCTCAGTGGATCCAGGGACTTGAACTCAGGTTCTTAGTCTTTTTAATAATTTAATTTTATGTGCATGAGTGTTTTGCCTGCATGTATGTCTGTGTGAAAGTGTTGAGTACCCTGAAACTGGAGTTACCGATAGTTGTGAGCTGCCCTGTGGGTGCTGGGAACTGAACCCAGGTCCTCTGGAAGGGCATTAGTGCTCTTAACCACTGAGCCATCTCTCCAGCCCCCCAGGTCCTTAGTCTTGCGCTCCAAGTGACTTTACCTACTCTCTGGCCCAGTGTGTCTGTCTACAGAAAACGGTACACACAACTGTGATGTGTTCCGGCCCTGGCCAGAAACAGACGGAACAAGGCTGAGTAGAGTTATGGGATGCATTAATGTCACGCAGTAAGCTAACAAAGTGGAGGTACTGCTTCCTTAGCCCATAAGCCAAGCTCCTAGGGCTGACAGCCTCAGCTGCAGCCCAGTGCACAGGACGTTCGGGAAGAGGGGCAGAAGGAGCGCATTTGCGTCTACCTCTGCTGTACCGCCAGCCTGCTCTCCCTCCCCGCACCTGAACGAAAGGTCCCTGCGTTAGCTGACCCAGTGCAAACTCCGCCTTTGTGCAGCCTGGCAGCCTGGCTCCCACATCTGAGCTGCCACAGCTGCTTCTGCTTTTCCCAACTGCTCCCTACACTCTAGCTTCACCTTGTCTGCCCGCTCAAACTCCGATAATCTTTTAACCTGACAGTGGTGGTGGCCCACGCCTTTAATCCCGGCACTGGAGAGGCAGAGGAAGGTGGATCTCAGCGATTCAAGGTCAGCCTGGTCTACAGAATGAGTTCCAGGACAGTCTCGAAACAAAACAAAATAACTATTTATTGACAATTCTTTACTCCAATACTGAAGATATACAATATAGAATTTTCAGAGGCCCCGAGCAAGTTCCAGGACTCCAAAATAATACAAAAAAAAAAATTCCCCCCACCCAGGTCAATATACCAAGAGAATAAAGAGAACAGTAAACATAGCCAGTAACAGGAACATACAAATTTAATGTTACTGAATACAAGTTTTTTTGTGCTACCAGTTTTTAGAGGCCACAAGATGATTAAAATGCCTTAAGTATCATAAAATTCAACCTTCCTTCTACATGGAAAGGAATTTTAACATTTAATATTTCTTTCTAGTACCAATCCCAATGAAACTGATGACTAAACTAGTTTAGCATTTTAGGAAAATAGACAATTTTTAAATGTTGTTAACTGAATAGTTCACAGAAGAAATTATATTCATGCGATTTATGGTATTTCCCATAAACAGTAATTTGCATTCACTAAGAAGTATTTTACAAACTGGTTGGTGGTAGCACACACATTTAATCCCAGCACTCAGGAGGCAGAGGCAGGTGGATCTCTGGAAGTTCAAGGCCAGCCTGAATTTTTATTTTATTTTATTTTTTGGATTTCTCGAGACAGGGTTTCTCTGTATTGTTTTGGAGCCTATCCTGGAACTCGCTCGGTAGACCAGGCTTGGTCTCGTACTCACAGAGATCCACCTGCCTGTGCCTCCCGAGGTCTGGGATTAAAGGCCGAGTGTGCCACCACCACTCTGCTATTTTTTTTTTTTTAACTTGGGCTCTAGAGATGGCTCAGAGGTTCTCAGTTCAATTCAAACACCCACATGATGGCTCACAACCATCTGTAATGAGATCTGGTGCCCTCTTCTGGTGTGCATGGATACATGCAGGCAGACCACTGTATACATAGTAAATAAATAAATTTTTTTTCTTTTTGGTTTTTTGAGATAGGGTTTCTCTGTGGCTTTGGAGGCTGTCCTGGAACTAGAGATCCAGGATCACAGAGATCCGCCTGCCTCTGCCTCTGCCTCCCGAGTGCTGGGATTAAAGGCGTGCGCCACCAACGCCTGGCTAATAAATCTTTAAAAATAATTTTATAGAGTTAAGGACATTTAAAGTAAGAGGATCATTTAGGATAGTTTAAAAGTTCAACCCAAAGATTATTGATAGTGCTTGTTTCTGTAGCACACTAAAATGGAACCATACAGAGGATTAGCATGTCCCTGAAACAGAAGACATGCAAATTTGTGAAGTATTTTGTTTTTTTGTTTTTTTTTTTTTGGTTTTTCAAGACAGGGTTTCTCTGTATTGTTTTGGAGGCTGTCCTGGAACTCACTCTGTAGACCAGGCTGGCCTTGAACTCAAGAGATCCACCTGCCTGTGCCTCCCAAGTGCTAGGATTAAAGGCGTGTGCCACCAATGCCTGGCGTGTTTGTATTTTTTAATCAGATAAAATTATCATTTTAGGTCAGGCAGTGGTGATGAACGCCTTTAATCCCAGCACTTGGGAGGCAGAAGCCTGGTCTACTGAGCGAGTTCCAGGACAGCCTCCAGAGCCACAGAGAAACCCTGTCTCAGAAAGAATAAAAGTATTATATATATGTATATATATATAAATAAAACTTTAGTGGCATTTATTATACACTTTCGACTAGAGTAAAATATTTCTTTTGGGAGGAGGGTTTTTTGTTTTAATTTTATTTATTATGCATACAGTGAGCTGTGTGTGTGTGTGTGTGTGTGTGTGTGTGTGTGTGTGTGTGAAGGCACCTGAGAACTTGGGTCCTCTGCCGCCAGTGCTTTTAACCTCTAAGGCCCTCGCCAGCCCTTCTTGTTTGTCAGATTGAAAAGGAGATCTGCAAGCATTTGTTTGGAGTTGTTTAGAATTCAGTTTTGAACCAGACATCACGGCACAAGCCTAACCCTAGTGTAGCTGAGCTTGGATGGCAAGTTTCAGGGCAGCTTGATTGAACTATACAGTGCAAGGGATAAATCACTGGGTCCATTGTCAGTATGAGCTGCATTTAGATAAGGCTGGTTATTGAATCAGGGATAAGCACGGGGCACTCGGCCCCTATATAACCTCCTCTG